GCTACTGCACGTAGCCATGATAGTTTGCGGATTGTGCTTGTTCTAAACCTACACGAGACATCATCAACTCTCTTCGGAAGTTGGGCTGTTGGGGTTGTTCAGATGCCCAAACGTTCTCGCTTCACGGAGGAGTCCTGAAGTCAAGCACCGCGACTGGCTGTAGGCCTACCTCACCGGGATGCCTTCGCACCATCACGCACTGCCCGGCGACTGGCGGAGTGGGCTTGGGAGCTGCCCGCGGAAGAGCGACTGGGCAAGACTGAGGAAATCACACATCATCAATCTCAGAACAGGTTTCAGTGCTAATTAGGCGGCATCCCGTTGATGATGCCGGGCACAAATCCGCGAATTGAGGCTTCACTCCAATAGACACCATAAGGCATTGCTGGCCGAGGTCCTGTGCCACGGCCAAGTCCGGCATGTTCGAAGTCGCCAGACATTGGAAATAAAGCGTGCGCTGCTCCAGGGCACAACTCCCGGTAGTTTGCATAGCTTGACTCTTGCTGTGTCTTGCTGCAACGAGGATCAGGTACGACCTTGCAGGATCATCGCCCAATATTCTTTGTTGCCGTGGGCAAGATGCAAGGATTTCGAGGTAATCGCATTGTAAGTGCTATGTCGGAGTCAGCAGTAGCCCAGGTTTCAACCATTGGCTCGCTCTTGGAGGCATGGCAATCTCAAGAGAACTCTAATCAATTCGAATCCAGCGGCTGGCCAGTTGACGTCATTCCTCCTCGTCCGTCACGTGTGTTACTCCATAAAGGGGGACTGTGCTCGTAATTGCTTGTGGGTTGTATGCTGAGATGGTTTGAATTGGGCTGGGTTTTAATTTGATGCTCAAGTTTTCTATTTTTCTGCTGTTTAAAATATCGACGATGCAGCGCACAGGCTGACTGAGCACGGGTATCCGGATCCGACGACAAGCGAAGCATTCGGAGATGAGCCAGCCCCAACAGAGCCAAGCTGCAGCGCAGGATCCACCGGGTGCACTTGCAGATGCCGCCAGACTGGCCTTGGCTGTCCTCGGTGACGAGGACGGCTTCGGCCTTGTGCAAACTGTCAATGTCAGCTTCCAGTCTGCTCCGAGTCCGCTCCAGCTCTGCCAAGGGTACAGGTTCGAAAAGGCATGGCTGACCGAAGGTCGGCAGCAGGACAGGTGGCCTCGATCCAACCTCCTGGCAGGAGCCATGCCCAGTGCTGGCGATTGCTCGGAGCTGAGCTTCCCTGCTATGCGCTTTGTTGAGACGGGTTCAGTGGTTGCAAAGCCGCCTCTGACACGCAAGGTCTGTTTGGAGGCAGTCGCTGGCAAATCAAGATCATTCCGCATCGTGGGGGCTGCTGCAGATCCCAAAACCAAGGATGGCGAGCGAGCTGCGTCCGCAAGCTGTGGGGTGATTGTTAGGAAAACTATAGATGGCAGCAGCAGGCAACTGAGTTAGGCATCACATGCCCCCTCCAAACTCCAAGCTCAGACTCACTGCGCTCACGGCCTTTTGGGGCCCCTGATATATGCAAGGCCTTTGCCAGCCTCTTGGAGGGGACTTGCAAGTAGCCCGGCTCTGGAGGTTTCACATGCTTGCCATTTTGACACTGCAGGGCCCTCATGCATAGTACTAGTAATAATAGTATGAAGAGGTTTTGGCAGGTTAATCGAGGGCCTCAGCAAGCAGCATGGAGCTTCCCGGATGGGGTCTTGACACTAGAGTTAGCAACAGCATGTGGCAGTATGTAGAGCTCCCTCCGGCCAAGGAGTCTGTGAAGAAGTGGTGCGAGAGGTGAAGTCCAGATTCGCCTAGCCTATAGGCTCTTAGACCATGGTCGCACTTGAAGTTAGCGCCAAACGGCGGCTGGCTTCGTGAAGCATGCGAACAGCACGTCTCAAGAAGCGGACGCTGCCCAGACATGTCAGCCAAAGGCTTGAACGAAGTGTAGGAAGCCCACCCTTCATTATACATTTCTCTTCCGAGGCATGTAGATCGCAAGCATAGGTCTGTCCTGTTATCAGCTTGAAGGCTGATGTTGTACGCAATTCGATGGAGTCCCACCATGATGCTCAAGGCATTGCTGGCGCAGCACGCGAAAGCACGAAGGGTAACAGGTCTTTCTGTCAAGGCCCTTCAACGCTGCACACCCAGCAAAACTAACAGTGGGAATGTATATTGCTTGGTTACTATTTCGGCTTGCTTGTAGTGGACCGGTCTGATGAGCCAGCGAATCGTATGCTTCATGATAGTTTCAGGATGCTACTATGCTGGCTATGGGCCGTTCGTTCTTGGTTTTGTGGTCCACACTTGCAAAGCTTTGCCTTTGGCCGTGTGAAGAGCATGGCTGAGGCCAAATTGATTTAACATCGCATAGCGAAATATCACGCCCTGGCGCCCATTTGTACGTGAGCAGGCATCTGAACTTCACACCAAGTCGCAGACTCCCTCACATCACTCTTGCTTAACTGCTTCAGACTGCCTGCTTAAAGCCTGTGAGGGTGTGTAGTGTGTAGGTCTTCAAATTTTCTGGTCAACCGCGCCGAGCCCACAAGCCGGGACTTCATGACCACAATCGCTCAAGGGCAATTAGGTGACGCCATGTGGCTGAACGGGCGGGCGAAAGCCTGTTGCTGCAAGCAGATGTGTGGGTGTGAGAGAAGATGTCATGCAAACTCTGTCAGTGTCCCAACCCGGGCCACAGCCAGCTGGTAAGCGATTACCTGGATGCCAAATTGCATGCTGCGCATTGGGTTCTAGGCCAGTGCCGCTGCAGCAACGGGATGCCCCAGGAAGTCGCAGCCACACCGAGCTTATGTTGTAGCTGAGATTCCGTAGAGTTCTCGGTGAGAATCAGCGCAGAAAGCGGCAGGTACATGTGGCAGGGTTAGTTGACCTGAGCTTACCTGCCGGTCTGTCGTCTCCGTCTCTGCTCTCTTTGGCAAGCTCCAGGGTCAGTAAGCTCCAATCTGCCACGTGGTAGACATTTTGGTTCAAGACAAGAGCTGGAAGCGAGTCTGCATGGGATGAGAAATGAGCTAAAGCCTCGCAGATTCATTGCCAGTCTTATTGTTTACGGCAAAGATCGCGCCGGCCGATATGGTTGACAGCACATTGATCTGAGGGTAGCTTAGGATTCGAGCCGCTTGCCTGCGGTGCCATGTACCAGGCTTCTCAAACCCCTGAGGCCTTTGAGGATCGCAATAGATTAGATTGAGTTGGTGATCGTGAGGCTTACTAATTGGTTTTGCCTCATTCCTTTCGTTCCTGAGGCATTGAAGCAAATCCTGACAGATGCCAACTTGGTTGGTCTGTTGAGTGTCCATCGGCAGGGGCAGCGCGACGAGACAGAGTGGCACAGGGGATGAGCGCTGAGTGGGTTTGCCAGTCACTCGGCGAACACTACCAGGCACAGGCGCATGAACCTCGTACTGCATCCTTGTGCTCGGAAGGGTCGCTTTGCCACATTTCTAGGAACCTGACTTTGATTTGCATGAGATGGTTCTTCGAGTCTTAGAAGTAGATGTCGCGTGCCACTGTCATACGCAATGCTTCGAGCGACTTTTCGTATCCAACGCTGTTTACCGGAGCAGCAGACCTACGAGCAGGCAAGCAGCGAGCACTTCCCTTCGGAATTCGAGTTTTTACAGTCGGTGTCCAAATGCCGAGCATAGAATGCATCTGGTCTTCGCTGCAGTGCGCCGATTCCACAAAAAAAAACGAAGATTGCTTCGTGCTGAAGTTGCTAGAACTCTAAGACAGCAACTACACTGGTGGGTGCAGTGGACTCGATCCAGGTATGAAGCTTGATCAAAAACAGCACGCGAGGTTTCCTCTGCCAACCTACAGCCTACAGCATGCCACTCGACCCTTTTTTCCGTGCGCAGTTGCTTCGATCTTGATGCTGCTCAATAGGTGCTGTCAATGGTACGACTGTGAAACAGCCTGGATGTCATTGCCGTGGTGTCGTGCATTCGTCGTCATCGTCGTCGGGATTCTGGTTGCCTCGCTTTCTCCTTTCGATTCCACCTTGCACACGGACATGGTGCAGCAAGCATGCGCTGGGCCCGGCCTTTGAACCAAGCAAAAGACCATCCACGGTGTCGTTCCTGCGATTTCCTGCGCACATTCGCGCGGGGCACTTGCAGCTGCCTGTGCCTGCCCTGCTGCTGCTCTTTTTCCTACGGGAGAAGCTGAGAAGCGGTTGTACTGAATTGTACTGCACAGGCAAGCTTCTGTAGTCCTCCACATTTACAACGTGTTTTCGCTCCGTGTGCATACCGACCGGCAAAAAGAGCCGTGGCCTTCGCCGCTCCTAGGTTTCCCTCTTGCAGCTCTAGCGCTGCTCAGCTGGCGGAGCTGCGGCGGAGGCATCCAGCCGGCTTCGCTCACGATGAGGCCGGCCTGAGCTTACTGAGCCATTTCTGCTGTAACGTTACATGGGCTCCACCCTCGACCTCAACCCCCCCGTCCTTGCAATATAAAAGAGTAATGCTCCCGTCCCTCACCGCCTCTTTCTTTGGTTGCAGCGGCTGCATCCACTAGTACCACAGCCCCTTCAGTGCTACGTTCCTGTGGCCCTTGCAGCCTACAGCTCCTTCGGGAAACCTGTAGGAAACGAACTCAACTCACATTTGCTGCTGGTGGTTCGCTCTTGCAATCATGTTTTTCGGATGCTGTGCCAGCGTTAAGCCCTTAACTCCCACACGTGTAATCTTGCCTTTTTCAAACTACTCTTTCGGAGCATTCCCGGGGCAAGTGCCCCCCGAAAACAATATTCAATAGCAGAGGGGGACCCTTAATGATGGAAGGAAGCGATTAGTCACTCTGCAGCGCATGTTGCTTCCTCGATGGGTTTCCATCCCACAGGGCAGTCTTCTCCATAAGCACGGATCAGGCGATTGATGGCAGATGGGCCAATGTCGGAACCCATCAAACGTGCCAAGATTTCGGACTTCTGAATAAAGCACGGACCAGTCGCCAAAGCTACTTCCCCGGAGCTGCTGGCAGGACCCCACCATGCGCGTGTGCACAGTCCCGCTGGCTGTACTTGTCTTCGGGGCTTGGGGAGCGTTGTGTCCAAGTGGCTGGTGTGGCGCGTGGCTTCTGGGACAGGCTGGAAGGTCAGCGGAATAAGTAGCGTCAGGCTTTCTGTCTTGCACTTTCGCAAGCGCTATCGGTGCACCAAGGTCTGTCGACGGCTGCCTCTGCCAGCGAAGCAGGAACGATGCATGCCGCACAGACAACATGCGCTAGTTTCAGAAACCTGCTGTAACCCCGAGACCACTAGATCCTCCGTGTCGAGAGGAGGATCCGCCCCTCGATGAGAGCTTTCTTGCAGGAATCAAGGAGGCGTACCGGCTTGGAATGAGGGGCGATATAGTGACCGTGACTTCTAGCAGGCCGATAAGGTTTGTTTTGAGGCACAGGGAGATGCGGTATAATTGGACCTCGTGTCGGTTGTTTGTGTGGTTCGTCTGAAAGACTCCTTTGACAAATTTGGGGGAGGGGTCGCTGTTTCCCACGGCTGCCAGCAGGAATTGGCTTCCATTGAAGAGAGCGAACAAAATATACAGGCTCTTTCGCAGGCCGCTTGGCGACAGTGCGGGAGATGGTCCTACCGCACATGGCATCGAATTAGCTTGTCACCATGACTATGACTGAGGAGCCTTGAACATATCGGAAGAACCACCTGGAGTAATGGATTGGCATGCCGGTGCATTGAACTAAGCTGAGCAAAAGAGATGAGGTGACCAGGCTTCGAAAGGGCTTAGGTCCTAGGTCCTAGGTAGCTGAGGCAGTTAAATTCAAACTAAGTGTGCCAGTTCGTCTCTACGTCTCGGCATGCTTTGAAGAAGGTCACATTTCCACTCGTCAGGTCTTCCGCTTCTATGCCGGGAATGCGAGGCAGCTGGCACAGCTGCTCGTCGACTTCCTCATGAAGCACCCTGTCGGTCAAGGGTTAAGACAACAGCTACTAGGTCCGGAAAGGATGATCTAGGTCCAGGTGCCGAGTTCTGCCTGACTTAAGGCAGTGCTTTCCATGGGAGCTTATCCATGCATTCCACCTTCTGGACGACATCTTGTTGCTGCCTGTCTGGGCATGTTATTTTCGCAGAGGTTGGCCTTGGAAAGTCTCTGCAGGGGGTTCCACAAGGAGGCCTGCAGCTAGTTCGCCTTCTAAAGCATCTAAAGCACCCAATTGCCTCTGCTGCGTGTAAAATGGTCTGATTTGAGTGACAGCATCACGAAGCACTTCGATGCTTGGTGCTACCGGTGACCCTTCAGGGCTTTTTGCCTCGTCGCAACAAGCCCTAATGCTCGGGACGACAGGTCAAGAGAAGAAAGCCTGGCTCGAACCCAAATCCTCCGATGCGACACAGTCGCAAAGCCGGCGGCGCTAGGCCGGAGGACGTGAAGCCGTTCGCCCAAGAGTCGACTTCCTTAAAGCAGATCGCGAAAGTAAGTTCAATTTGTGAGATGCCCCCGGACACTGAGACTTGGATGAGTCTTGGATGACTTGGGGGAGTTTGAAGATCCTTTCCTGCCACCTAACAATATCTACTCGTTTTTGCCAGAACCTCGTTGATGTCAAGGGCTGCAATGAGTCGTAGTTCGCCTCCGAGGCTTCGCAGACTATCAGCATCAGTAAAGTCGAGTAGTTCTGTCATGCCCGGTGGCTGAGAGGTTCTTCTCGACTTGCGGGCCTAGATACTGGATTCTGGGTTCAGGAATCTGTGCTTGTTTCGCAGGTTTCTGCAACATCTTCATTGTGTAAGTTGCGCGACCCTTCGGAAGCCGAGGTTGGACAACACCGGATCCTACAAAGCCGAGCTGTCTGACCGTCATCCGGCCTGAACATCTCAGGAACTTGTTTAAGGCATGCAAGCAGGTGGAAAGCCAATATCCAGGAGAGGGCTGTTCGTTGGAGGGGTCGTTGCCGCTGTGCCGCTCGACTTCGCACCTGCGCCCTGCTTCGGCACGTCTTCTTCGGTGCGATTCTTGTTGCGTGCGTGTGTCCGCGCTGACAGCTCGTGGTACATTCAGCCAGATATTCAGTCCAAGTGCGGGTGGTCGCGGTGCAAGTCTTCCCACTTGAGTTCTGCTTGTGTGCGCCGCTGTTTCTTAAGCATCATAGCCTTGCGGGAGCAAGTGGTGCAGCAAGCACTCAAACCTGCTCTTCCTCCATCGCCTCGCTGGCTGCCTGTGCTGTAGCGTTGCTTTTCTCGTTTGCTCTATTTTGTTACCTGCCTCCACACAGAACCTGCCTGCCAATCCAGTACGAGTCGCGGGTGCCTGAGTGATTGCAGAAGACTTCGTTTTAGGTGCATCTGCGCTGTTTCAATGATTGGCCGGCATGTTGAAGACGAAAAATCTACACACACACACACACACACACACTCCATGCGAACCTGCAGTTGGCCCGGCACAACCCTATCTCACAACATGAGTTTGGATCTGCAGGTCCCAGAGTCCCAGGGCAATTCTGTTTAGCAAAAAGCTCCAAGCAATCAGAAGCAGCCCAAGCTGCCGTCAACTGTGCACCCCGGTTCACCTTTGCACTGGCAGCAGACTTAGGCATTCAGATGGCATCAGTTCATACTTTCCGGAAAGTCCAGTCCGCTGCAGAAAAACGCGAAGTTGCACGCAGCTTGGCCGGCAACGTGCAAGAGGTCGAACCCGATGTGCCTGGAGCGGGGCGTATGCAGCTCTGGCTGAAGAGACCTGCCGGCTAAAGCTAAGATTACTAAGATCTTCCGTGCTAGCAAGGTGTCCTCCATGCTTGGCGTGAGCTGCGCATCATCAGCTCAGAGGCCGGGGACTTGGGATTGCGCCCTGCTTGGCCCGATCTAGAGTCTCCAGATTCCTTGGAGTGTCCTTGGTTTCTGTGGCAACCACCAGACTCTGCAGGTTGCAGATGGCATCGCCGCAACACTCCGCACGCTCGGGGGCGAGGTCCCGCTACAATGCAAATGTGAAGAATGTATCTCGAGCATTTTCGGCCCTCAGAGACACATTCTTCGTTCTTGGTGGGCGTCGAACGATCTTTGCATGCATGGCGCTGCTGCACAGGCAGTTCTGACAGTGTAGATTTCGTGCTGGGCCGTACTCATCCTCGAGGGCGGTTACGATTGTCAACCATTTGAAGGGTCGGCCGTTCCCTGCCTGACTTCAGCTCTGGAGGCTGCTAGCCGAATCTTGGATGAAGCATCTGCTCCAGACGACGAAGACGATGAGCCCTATTCGATGCCTACTCGGGCAACTGGCCCAGACTCTCGGCACTTAGCCGACTTAGCCCTCCGAGTGCCGACCTGGCAAGTATTCGTGGCATCCAAACACAGGCAGCGACCCCCAACAAGTTGCGCGATCGAGTTTTTGCACTCGAAACCTATTTTTGGAGGCACGGAAGGAGCTGCCTTACTGGGTTTATTTTCCATAGACCCACTGAGGGATTCGGCTTTCAATCTCGCAAGAGTAGCTTTACTCTAAGTACCAGCGACTGCTCTGCAGAGCCAAGGCACCTGCTGCTAAGGGTCAGCCGCAGCCGGAACCGCCGACCAAGCGTGCCAAGGCAGGCCAAAAGCAGCACGGGGTTCGTGTCGAACATAGCTTCGTCCCGAATCCAGGCGGGAGAAGATATGAAAGACCAACATGAAAAGCCTCCTGTGCGGCGGATGTCGTCCGATCTGTGTCCGAAATAGCACGACGTCAAATGCTGAACTTGATTCCTCTTTCTTTGCCCTGCACTGTGCAGGATAACCAACATGTGCCTTGTAGTCTGTGCCGAAGGTAGCTTCCGCAGCTGCAGTCAGGGTGGCTGCGCCGACCCCTGCGCAGCCGCCGCGGACAGCAGAGAAGATCCTGGCCTTGGTAAAGAGGCCAGCGTGAGCGCTACTTCTTGGCCGTTTTGGGGGTGTCTTGTGTTTGGCCGTCGCTTCGTAGGTTTGCCCTGATTTCGGCGTGTCGATCCGGGTCAGCAGCAGATCGCTTAAGAATTTAAAGCCGAAACGAACAAGATGTCAGAAGAATCGCGGTAATTTCTGTATCACAAACTCAACACAACAAGAGAAGCTTGGTGCTAAGCATGAGAAGAGGCAAGCCCGGACACAGAAAGACTGGCTTGCGGCTCACTTGTGTCAGACGGGAAACGAGCAAACGAGGAAACAAGAACTCAACAAGACAGCAGTTGTTCCAAAACCGACGCGGAAGGAGTGCCCGCAAAGACCCTATCAAATTCCTAACCAAGAATGCAAAGATCATGCCTACGCAGCGCAAGCGACCCGTACGCCTCGAGGCTTGACGCTTGATCGTACGGCACCAGATCCATAGGCAAAGCTATGGCCAGCACGACAAACTGTCGATAGGGGCGTTTGGCGTAAGTCTTGTGGCGGCGTATTGCTGAGGAATGTACTTGCATGTACTTGCCATCATGTAAGAACAGAGTGAATCCGATCTGCGTTTGTTTGAGACCTGGTGCAGGATAATCGCCGCACCGGCGGAGCTACATGGCTCAATAGGAGCATGCACCGGGAGACGTCTTTTTTGTTCGTCGAGGCCTCTGCGAGTGGCAAAAGGATCCCACAAGTGATCAACTCCGATGTCTTGCATGTGGCATCCAGCCCTTGCTTGTGCTTTCCATCCTACATGCCATGATATGCCATGCCACCTTGGCAGTGCTACTTCGCAGCAGGGAAGCAACTAAGACCTAGACAGATGCGAAATGGTGCAGAGGCGCTGCCTGTGAGAATGTCCAAGGAAGCCCTTTGAGCTGCTGGGTCTGGGCACTGGGTGCAAGGCTCGGCAAGTGAATGCAAGGCTTGCCTGGGCTTCCAAGTCTTAACTTCTTGCGTCAGTCCGTTCCGAGCTTGGCGGTCAGGCGTTCGTTTTGTTTTTGTTTGGACCTGCGGGTCTTTCCAAGGGGGGGCCAGAGAAAATCCTACGCTCAGGCATTTTGCCCTGTGAAGGCCAGCGAGATTCGAACGGCGTACAGGAAGATCGCACTTCAGATTCACCCCGTGACTCTGCCACCGGGGGCCGGGAGTGCAGCTGAGGGTCCGCATTTCGGAATTGGTGCATTTCTGGCCGGAGTTGAATGCCGATCAGCTTTGGACCCTGGGTTCGGCGCCGGCAGTTCGTCAACAATCGCTTGCAAGACCTTGAGAACTCCACCAAGACCCAGGGACAAGGCAAGAGCAGCAGCCCGCGCAAAGTTTGGAGTGCAACCAAGGACAAGAACCCAGGATCTGAAGGACTTTGCAAGGAAGCTCTCATCAAACTTCAGCAGGGAAGAGAGCAGGCTGGTGGGAATCTGCTCCGAGCTGGTTACGTAGCACGATCTCGCTGGCACTGTGCAACTAACAGCACACACAGACTTAACCGTAGCACCCATTCCAGCACAAATTGTGGCGAGGCAGAAAGCGAGCTTCAGCAACGAGAGCTGCTTCGTTTGCAAGTTTGTCAAGGTCAGGCTGTCATTCCCCGTGGCTTTGCGATCGTCGGTCTCCGAACCGCATTTTTCCAGCAGGGAGGAAACACTGACAACACAATTCGGCAAACAAGTAAGTTAAAAGATTTTGTCACACTAGGCGCCCTGAAAGACCAATTCTTGTAGCCTCGCAGTTCAAGGAGTGGAGGCAAATCAAGGGACAAGGCTGGCATGAACAATGCCACTGTTGCTGCTTGGATGCATTTGGTGGGTTCAGAACTGCATGAAAGTTTGTCTGCGAAGCCTGTGCCTGCGCTCAAGAGATCTTTCAAGCACTTTGCACTTCGAAGCATGAGCATGGCTGTACAAGTTTTGCTTGCTTGGTAGCGGGACCAGCTCAGGGAGCATTCAGCTTTCTGGAGGGAGGGAAAGGGGTTTGCGCCAGGAACCGGAAGCCAAGCCTTCTGGGAAATGCCCATACCCAGGACTGCCAGAACGCTCGTGTAGACCAGAGGCCAACCAGTTATGCCGTTAGTGCAATTGGATAAGCTTGCATCGCTTGCGCAGGATGCGACCTTCCAAGCTGCAAGCAGTGCCCGAACAGGTGCTGCACTCGCACCTTGGTTGATCTTGTGCCAATACTGGCGACATGCAGTCGTCACGACCCGGTCTCAGTAGCAGGTTAGCGTTGTCCTGAGCATGCCGCCGATCATTGTTTTAAAGCGAGCCCACGCAACTGTATGATGCAGGCTTTGTGGTGTGGGGGTCTGCTTCAGCGTGTGCCAAGTCAAGTACTGGTCGACCAGCATTACCACTTTCTGCGATGAGTGCTTGAAGAAGTTGAACATTACTCACTGCTTTTTGGTTGCATCCTGCCTCACTCCGATACCACTTCAAGTTCCCAGTCTTCGAGGCACGACGTTATCCTGTAGCCCTGGGGTACCGGCATCGATTGTATGGAGCGTGTTTCATGCTCTTCGAGGCAACATCACGCATTGCCACATGATCGCACGAAGCCGAGGGGGGCGACCTGGCAGCATAGCTGCGGCATGTGCAGTTCACTCGAACCGGCTAAAAGCCTGATTTTAAAGCAACGGCATGCAGGCTCCACTGCTACTTCCATCCGCCTCCTCGCTCATGGGCGCGGAATGCCGAAGGTTGAGGCAGCCTCATGAAAGAGGTTGCTTCGAGTGGGGCTTTCAACCAGGTTTGTTTGCATGGAGGGTTCATCCGGGCAGCACGCCGCCATCAGTGTCTTTCGCGTCAGCTACTGTTTTGCACCTGCACCCCGCAACTGTCGGCACAGTGCTGGCTTCTTGAGCATTTTTGAGCTTCCCAGGTCTGTCCAAGCTGCTTCATGACATGGTGGTCATTCTTCTGCATGCCGTCAGTTGGCTGGCCACCATGTAAATGCCAAGACAACAACAACCCGGCCCAGCGTAGCAGGCTCGCTTCGGGTTGCTTGCGCAAGCGGCAAGCTCGTATCTGCACCGCTCCGGCTGTCCAGAGGGCAAGCATCCTGCAGAAGTAAAGGGGCTAGAGTAAGACGAAGAAGGTACGGAGCAAGCGTGCCGCCCGGTAGTATAATGTAGTATAGCATTACTGCAGGTCAGAATGTCTGTTTGGATGCACGAAGGAGACACGTAATTACTGACTCACCCAACAAATTGCCGTGACTGCTTGTTCCACTTGCCTCGTGACTGTATTTTGTGACAATGAAAGAGCGTGTGCGAGAGGGAGCAAAATGTTGTTGCATCGAACGCTTGTGCAGCCCCCCTGGATGCTGCATGTTGATCTCCTTGGCACTGTGCCAATCAGCTCTTGTGGCATGCGCTTTGCCGAGCCCTCTCTTGGACAGCTGCGAAGGCCCAAGCTCGCAGCCACGCAAAGAAGGTCTGGCAGTTTAGGCTCCAATTCTTGCACGGCCGGCATAGGTGGCAAGGTTTCACGATAGAGTCCTGCTGACGCCATGAGACAGTCCAAGGGTTCGAACCAGAGTCTCAACGACCCTATGACAGGACTCTGGATGCAGATGCATATCCCCATGTAGTTGCGTGGCTTTTTCTTGCGGCGTGAAGTACAGCTCATGATAAGACTACCAAGACTTGCCAAGCTGGAAAGCCGGCCAACTATGTATCCAAGCAAGCCTGAACTAGTTGGATTCACGCCACAGCACCCCACAACCTCGAAGTAGTCACTGTATGTGTTTTCAAAACTGATGCAGGAGCTGTGGAAAGCCTGGTGAATCTCCGGGCCGAGATCGTTGCATCCCAGACTCCTGGCAAGCGGACAGAAGAACGTCCAATCTCCGTCTGCAACAAAAGCGGGAACAATTAATTCGCCGGGAATCTTAAGGTTCCGAGTTCTAGCTATTCTAGCTCAAGGTTTAAGGTGCCCTCTCGAAGTGGCCCGGAAGTGCAAAATGCCACTCAGCTCCCTCACGCAGCCAGCGCCGAAAAGGAAGCAGATCCTTCGAAAGCTCGACACGGAGCTGGAGAAAATGAAGAAGAGCACACCACCAGCTAGGACGTCATTTCGCGAGGTGCCTGTCTCCACATGAGTTCTAAACGTTGGAGTGACATTGTAGGAGCTTGTTGAGCCTGCTGGGGATCGATGTTCATCTACGGTGCAGTGCTACTCGAAATCTGTGCATGCGACGCTGACACGAAGCTGGTATTACGTTACGCTATGCTGTACTGCCTTTTACTTTACGAATAGTATACTATGTTACATGTTATACTAACTACACTCGTGCTATATACGATCCGATACTATACACTATACCATCCCGTCCTCATCCTCTCAGACTTCACATCCTCTGCTTCGACCGCCGAAGTGACCCTTGGACCTTAGTCTGATCGAGGCGCATGAGTTTGTTCCTGGGCCGCCACAGCCGCTCTCACCTTTGACACCCACCAGAGCTTGGGGCCCTGAAGGGAGGACTGGGTTGATGAACATCGGAAAAGGTGGTTACCAAAGTCGGCTTGTTCAGACCTGCTTTATGGCTACTATTTAAGGCTATTTCCCAGGCCGGATTCGATTGTAGATGATTTTGCAGTGCGAGGCACTCAAGCAAGGAACTTAGGAAAAAGAACTTGCATGTGCCCACCGTGGTGCAGGACAGAAACGATGTCCACGATGATGTCAAAGCCGAACCTTCCCGGGGCGCTGGACAGTGAGGACGATGCCCCAGCCGATCCACGGACAACGCTCTCCCAATTATGGCCTCGTGGCAGACAGGGATTCTGGTCGCATCGGAAAAGGCTTGCGTCTGCATTTGGTTGTCAAGACTACTGCAGTCAGGGTCCCCGTCCAGAAACTGGGTTGCTGGACTCCTTGTTTTGGCACTTGTTGGTTCTCTACTCTCCGGAGCTAGGGTGTCTCGTGCAGTTGCAGTTTTCTTACCAGGCTGTTTGTACCTTGGGCCGAGATTGCTGATGATGCTTAAACGGTCGTCGTTTCAACGATCTCCGATATCAGAAGGTTTGTCCTAGATGCGACGCAGCTTCCCTTGCGTCAGGCATCTTGGGACTTGGAACTCCCTAAAGGAGCAATATGAACGTCTCTATGTCTTGGTTTTGGTTGGGACTCTTGGCTTCGGGATCCTTTGAGGGATCCTGTGCTGAAGCCCTGACTTATAAATGCTGCAAGCTATGTCTTGAGCAGATTTCTCGGCTGAAGAAGGCTCCCCCTATTCTCTGATCTAGTGTGCCAGGGTGGCGACAGGAATGGGACATGCGGTATGCAGGCACCGCAACGACTAGGTTGGGGTGGCTTTACGAGTTTATACGACAACTTGTAAACAGAAGCTCCTGATGACCGCATGTCCGAGTGCAAGGTCTGTTGCCGAGCAACGCAAGAAGCGAATGCCTTGGATCAATAAGCAGAACCTTGGACTTGCCGAAGTGGGTTCGACTGTCCTTGTGTGTTGTGCTGGAGAGCTTTTGGGGATTCTGGTTGACAAGACCGAAGAGCTGGGGAGAAGACTCTGCCACCTCACACTTTGAGGCTGCAGTTTGAAGTCGTCCTTGCTCCGCCTGCCTTGCTGTAGTGGGCAGGGCATAATCGATGATGTTGCGCTTACGAACACGAGATACCTTGAAGTTCGGGTCTCCATGCTCTCAGGCTCCTCAAAGATCGCGGGTTCGTTGGAGCCCAAAATGTGCCGCTTCTTGCTGTTTGCACCGATGCCTTTTTTGAGGAAAGCAGCTGGCACTGGCGCCACTGGCATTGAAAAGCACATGACACAAAAAGAGCTGGACGAGGAGCAGGTGCATGGTACAGGCCACTGGTGGAAGTTACCACATCGGTGTGTTTGGTGTGTATGGTTTCATCAGATTGAGCTTGTGGCTACAAGAGACAGGGGCTCTGTTAGAACCTTCGACCGAACAAAACCGACTAACTAGCTGATTTCACCGAGTTGTTGAAGAAGCCGCCAACAGGCAGCCAGCCCATTGCTCTTGAAGAGGAAGACAAGTGCCTGGGCATGGATTGAAAGTTGTGCCGGCTCAGTCTGTCTTGGCCACATCATGTGAGAAAGAAGGTCGGGAGGGGGCATGCTTTGGAAGTGCGAAAGCCAGTGCAGTCAGTTAAGAAACATGCTTGATGAAAGCTGAGGCGTGTATTCTCACAGCTCAACTCGGAGTACGCGGTAGAGCAGTTGAGGACGAAGGGAGTCAAACCGTAGATCGAAGAGCCGGTTTGTGCAGTTTTGTGAGAATGCTACGTCGGCCAAGAACCCTGTCGACCAGGAAAAATGCTGTCGCGCAGTTCCGGGCCCAATCCAGGCTTCCCCAGGAAAGCTGTTGGACGAAGATCGTCTCATGGCGCACTTATTGGGCATTGAGAAGGCTGCATGGTCACCGTGTCTTGTTGAATGATTCCCTGAGTCAGCAGCGAGCACCGTTTGTAGTCTGTCGGGTCAGCCGAAGAGGTCCTGTAGCATCCACCATTGAGCCAGGGTGCAGCCTTAAGAATCTGGGGCCTCTCCTTGCAGGGCCAATGCACCCTTTGCCCCGAAGGCCTTCCCGATAGCAAGGTAGAACCCCTTGGCCCCTGTGGCCCCCCCCCCCCCTGAGCTTCCGGCAAGGTGAATAGTCCGTACTTTGAGCGGGTCGGCCTTGCGAGCCTTCGCTGAGCTTGGGGGAGAGGGGGGGGGCACTTGCAGCTGGTTGATCTCACTTTCTACCTGGCATCTGTTGCGGATGTCGGTAAGCATGAAATTCGAGTTGTGGGCCTCAGCTGACCGAGGATGATCTACTTGAACGCGATCTGGATTGCCGTGGACATTCAGTACAACAAAGCCCCTACAGTGCTGGAGGCGGTTCCGAAGTGCTAGCGACCACAGACTCAACTTAGGACGTAGGCATGACCGGGACCATCGTACACCAAACATCGAGCTATAGAAGTCTTGCACAGGCAGAGGCAGGCTTCATCGCTGCAGAGGCCAAGCGGCCAAGCCAAGACTTTCCAGAGCGTTGCAGAGCTCGGGGCGCTTTCAGGGCTTCACAGGGGTTGGGCGGAACAAGGCCGAGCACCTCTGTGATACAAGGGTGGCCTTGCAAGGCCTTGTTAACCGTTACCTGACCGTATCGATTTTTTCACCGAAGGTCTGATGAGGCATTTCAAAACGCTTCGTCTTGGCAGGTCTTCTTCCTGATTTATTTCTCGGCAGAATTGCTCTTCCGGTACATGTCCTATCCCACCACACGGCAGGCCTTCAAGGCCCGTGTTTATTCAGTTGGAAAATATGTCTAGCAAAGAAGTGTGCAGCAGAATTGCATAAGCCCGTCTGGTTCGAGGACCCATGGTTTTGGTTTGATTTGCTGCTGGTGGTCATCATGGTCGTAGAGACATGGCTTATTCCCATCTTTGACTTGATCATCACGGGCCTCGCAGATGCTGGCAACGGCATGGGGAGAAGTGCCTCCGCTTTTCGCACCGTGAGAGTGCTCCGTGTTCTTCGCACTGCACGAATCATCCGGGTTGCCCGCTACATGCCCGAGCTCATGATCTTAATCAAGGGGTTGATGGTTGCAGCTCGTTCCGTCTTCTTCACCTTGGTGCTGCTGCTCCTTGTGACGTATGTGTTCAGCATAGCAATCACGCAGCTGGCAGCAGGCACCGGGACCACAATGGAGGCAGAACAGTTTCCTAATGCGCTGGTCACAGTTTTGAACTTGATCATCGTGAGCACGATGCCGGATCAGAAAGACTACTACGAAATGGTTCGAGATGAAGGCTGGGAAACCTGCACAGTGAAAGATCCTAAGCATGTTGCTGCTGCTCACCACTTCCACGAATGCTGTCAAACATTTTCGATAGAAGCTTCAGTGCCACGAGTCATGAAGCTGTGGCTTTGTGTTTGATTGCTAACGCATCATCCTTCTTTCCGAGTTGTGGACGTGCAGGAGACTGGTTCATGGCTCTGCTCTTCCTCGTCTTCGTCATGTTCAGCTCACTCATCGTCATGAACATGTTGGCGCTCTTTCAGCAAGTTTTGCCGAACTCAGCGGCGTGCTTTCAGGCCGTCAGGTGTTTTGTTAATGCTAACTCTCTTCTCGCGCCCAAGACAACGATGGCACAAGCAGCCCCAACCTCTGAGGCCCTGTAGGCTCCCACTGCGAGCTCAGACCTCCATATTGTGCCATATTGCGCCTGTTTCGTCCCCGCCCGTCCAAGCGTCCAAGCTCAGGTCGGCGTGTTAGTTGAAGCCGTCCAAACCGTGGCGACGGTGGAGCACGAGCAGAGCCTCTGCCAGATACTGGTAGCCTGCTGGCGGGTCACGACATGCTCGTCAAAGCGTTGACAGACTTGGTTGGAGTACCTGGCATGACTGGTCGTCGAAATTTAGATAGGGATGCCCAAGCAACATAAATTGCGATCTTGCCCTTCTCATGATACTTGTAGTGGGCTGCCAGCGCCAGCGATCGCAAAGTCAGAAGCAGTGCAGCCACATAATCCTTTTGGAACACAGCGGCGTGTGCACTACCGAAAGGGCTCGATTTGGAAGTTGTTACAGTCTTGACTGCTCAAGCTAGCATGGCAGAGGTGCGTGCTACCAGTAAGGATTCACATCGACTTCGCCAAACGCGTTTTGTGGGAGATGCTGGACAGCGGGGGTGCGGATGAAGATGGAGACAACCTCATCTCAGAGCAGGACCTTGCCACACATAATTTTTGGCATAGCAGGGAATCAGTTTCGAAGTCTGCAGGCCAGGTCAGAGTCCAAATTGGCAGGAGTTCTTGAAACTTCTCGAGACGCCAGAGGCTGCGAGACTTGGACCGCATTGTTCAATGCCGTGCTCCAGAAGTCGTGTCGTGCTGAAATCTCGGGCTGTAGATGGCCGGGGTTGGGTGTTCAAAGGGCTTCGACCATGCTTTGCTGCCTCCCTTTTGCTGCCAATGCCGATGTGATAAGCTCGTGTCGAAGCAGTACTGGAAGCCGAGGATGCATATCTTTGGGGCATGCAGAGTTCTGTTTGAATTCCGATTGAAGGGCTTGGGATTCCGACATCGTATCCATGTAGAACAGTTGCGTCCTCGCCCAACACCTCCAATGTCCCGGCAGTCCGGTTCGGTCCCGAAGGAAAGCCTTGAATCGGCTTGGCGTGGACAATGTCGCCGCTGTTGAATACGGAAGCCTTCTCTTTGAGGACGGGCATGTGAGCAAAGAGTAGGGAGCGCTCTAGCCTGGCGCCCTTTGCAACGATCCCTTTCCTAGGCCGCTCATTTACTTTTGTTCGAAGTTGTTGCTTGGTTTGGGTTGAATGTGGCACGTCGCCGGAACAGAGCGCTGCCGTGTAAAGTCAGGATGGGCAGCCTCTGACTTTTGGCGAGTTCTTGGAGGGCATGCTCCTGCTACGTGGGTCGAACCAAACCACAGTCAAGGACGTCCGTGCTGTGTTCAGTGCTTCAGACATGCACAACTCCCACAAGAAAAGGGCAGCAAGCACACCTTATCTAGCCAGGAAACGCGCTTTGCTGGGGGCATAACAGGACATTGTCAATCTGCGCAAGTACGCCTCGGATGAGTTCTCCCATCTTCATGTGGTGTTGGCCGAGCTTTGCAAGGTCCTCGCAGGCAAGGTGCATTAGGCCCTTGCATTTCCAGTGCTCTGCTCTGACTCTGAAGCAAATCTCCTTAGACACCGCAGATATTGCAGGATGTATTTCAGATTACAGACGAACCGTTGTGTTCCCGACACATCCCGACACCAACTGCGCGTGTCATCACATCACCAACACAGACCAAAGCAGCGAAACAAGCAGAGATTAGCAATCAGCAGTCATTGGCCAACGCAATTCTTCCGTGCAAGAGCGGCTTGCGAAGACGTTGCTCCACACTGGACAGTCCTTCCACGAATCTGCGGGAAGGCTTTGTTCTTGTTGGTAAGTTTGGCCGAAGCGATCTATCCTGGACAGGTCAGCAATCTGCACCTCTCCAAGCCACGGCGAAGCTTCTCCAGGAGAAGATCGATGCATACGAGAAGGTCTTCAAGTCAGGGAGGTTGATCCAAGTTCGATGAGGATTTCAGCTTTGCAGGGCCTCGCATAGCGACAGTCGCTAGCAGCTGCAGCCACCTGTTGCCGACTGCGACAACCCTAGCCGTGAAAGTGCGTGTAAGCAGATCACAGGTCGGGTCGATTCATGCCGATGAAGTGTGAGTGCTTTTTTGCGCCCCGCCAACATGGATCAGTGTTGTGGTATGGCATGTCAGCATGTCTTTAAGGCCTAGCTTTGAGTTTGAGTGTCTCCCGACAAGACCAGAGCCACGAAAACCTGCGTGTAACTTGCGCTAAACCCGTCCCTCACGAAGCATTCTCTGAGCTATGACCACTGATATGTGCGTCAATGCAATGAGCAGTGCTGCTGAAGTGTCGGCCTTTGATACGGCAATGATGGGTTGGAATGCCTGCTGCCGGCACTAGATGCAAGAACAGTGATTGTTGGCCAAGCGGATATGAGGAACGAACCTGTGTGGTATGACCATGGGCATCGCAGCCGGCGCTGGCTTGCATGGGGAGTAGCAGTGCTTGTCCAAGACAGCACGAAGCAACCACGACTGCTTGATGGTGCAGTTTCGCACTTTCCGCATCTCGTTTGTGCCTGAAGCAGGGTTGCCATAGCTACCACAGCAGGTACTGCACGCGACCATAGCACATGTAACATAATTTCAACAAAGCCAGAAGGCACGTCCTTTAAGCCTCGGACTTGAGTCTTGGGGTCCTCGTAGTGGCCGATGACAAGACCGGAACTGCCGTGTGGCAACAGCAGGAACCCTTGCTCAGATGCGTGTCCCTGCTTCAGCAAATAGAACTGGTTTTTTCAGGAGCTCTGGGCAAGTAAGCAGAAGACTAGACTCTAGACAGCGAAGCCAAAAGACTTTCGCCAAAGTCTTTAAGATGTGCGTGTTCACAGGTGCAAATTACGTAAGCATGCATTCCTACATCTGACTGTTGCAGAAGATGCATGCGAATATTTTTCGAGGAAGCCATGCCTGCATGTGGTGCTTGTGTGCGCTGAGAGAATTCCGCAGCTTGTGTCAGGGCAGTGTTCGGAGATACTGGAACAGACTACGACAGGCACTGAAGCACTGCAGAGAATTCACCTTCGCTCTTGCCCAGACCTGTCTCACCAGCACCGACAGCTTCATAAAGGATGCACTGAGTGTGCCCGGACTTGAGCACAATTGAAGCACTGCTCAACCTCCACCACCTGCAAGGGTGAGGCCCTGTTCCTCCTGCTGTCGGACGTAGAACTGGATTTTCGCGCAGTCCTGTCTTCAAGAGACAAGACGGCATGCCGCAGAATCTGACTTTGCATCTTTAGCAGAGCCGGAGCTGATATGAGAGATATCATAGTCAAGCAAACATGGATTTATCAGCCATGATCCACAAATGTAATCTGATCTTGAATACATACGATATCTAGTTTTTTAATACTATCATCACATCTATAATGAGGCCGTCAAAGGTTCATGAATATGAATATGACTTTTGAAATAATAGTTTAAGAAACTCCAGAATCAACTCAACCATAATCATATAGTATAAACAGATCGATACATTTATCTGAGGATATAAGAATATGTATGTGTATGTGTATATATATATATATGTATGTTCGAATTGAGATTTCTTAGCTAAGAAGATTACAAGTTTTCGGGAAATCCATGCTTTAACAAAATTGAAATGAGATTTACTTCAACCATAGATTTCGATTTATGTCGATAGCTTTTCGGTAAGAATGCTAGATATATATATATATATACATATAATATCATCTTATCAGATGTTGTGAGGTTTAAATAATCAATGATGTTTATACGATGATAGTTAAACTAACTTTTTGGAATATTGGTATAATTTAGTTTCAGGAGTCATTTACTTATATACAATATGCTAAAGGATTGTAATATCATGAACGTGAGTATGTTTACTCTAAAAAACACTGCGCTCTTCCTCCGGTTTCGGATTTGCGCACGAGGCTGCCGGTGCGAAACCACGAAAATCTTGGGATGTTGGGATCGTTGGTATGCCTGCGGGTGTCTGCCTTTAAATTAAAGTCGAGTCCTTAGTACGAAACCTAGAAATTCCTGGAATCTTGAGATTTTTGTATTGGACGCGCTGTGTGGTACTAAGAATGGCGATTCCGAGGTTTCGTGCCGCACGGGAAAGCATCACGACATTTTCGGTACATATTGTTTGTATGTTAGCTCTGACTTCATTACGCCGCTTCGACAAACATGGGCATGCCACGCATGCCGTGTGCAATGTACTCTAGCATGGTAAGACCCTGGTAAGGTAACTTGAGGACTCACTGTCGCACGACCAGACATCGCAGCAACAGACCGGAACGTGGAAACCCAAGTTGTGGGGAGTGGCGGGCGAGGGCGTGTGTCTCGTGGGGAGTGTTGCGAAGTGGCGGGCGAGGGCGTGAGTGTCGCGGGGAGTGTCGCGGAGTGGCAGGCAAGGCCGTGTGGAGCGCTAGGCAAGAGCGGGTCGGAGGGGAGTGTCATGCAGTAGGGTGAGGGCATGTGTGTCGTTGCCGGGGGGGCGATTCGAGGCGAGCGTCGCACAGTGAAGGGCGAGGGCGTGCGGAGGGGGTGTCACGGACGAGGGGAGCGGTGGGCGAGCGTGTATTTACGGGGAATTTCGTGGAGTGAGGGTGAGGGCGAGGAGTGTTGCGGAGGCGGGCGAGGTTGGTAGGTGGGCGTGCGTGTGTTGTCGGAATTCGCTGGGAATGGGGTTGGTCGTGGAGTGGCGGATAGGGCGTGAGGGAAGTGCAGCGGTATAGACGAGGTCGTGGGGAGTGCGGCATGATGGGCGAGGCGGGTAGGTCGTAGGGAGTGGCGGGTGAGGGCAGGTCGAGGGGTGTGAAGGATTGGGTGAGGGCGGGTCGGTGGGCGAATCGAGGGGACTGTTTCGGAAAGATGGGGTGGGTATATGTGGGTGGTTGGGGGGGGTCGCAGAGTGCGGGAGATATTGTATCGCGAAAACCGTGGATTGTTAGGGTGAATAGATATGAGGAGTGGTGAGGGTATTTAAGTAAGAGTGAATGGGTATAGGCGGTTCGAATGGAGCGTAACGAATATTTATTATGAGATTGCGTATCTTGTGGAATGGTAGGGGAGGAAGAAGGGCAAGAATTGCGTGGAATGATGGGATAAGGTTGGTTGGAAAGAAGAAGAAAATGAGAGAATTAATAAGAGAAGACAAATAACGATAAATATTCTCGAATCTTTCTTTTATAGAAGATATTCCCTGAATTTTGGAGAATAATCGATGGGAATATCTGGGAATATATTTATATATATATATTTTTTTAATGATTTTTTTATTCTAGGTATATATATTTTCTAAATTATCGATTTGGAATATAATGAATTATATAAAATCTTTTAATATAATAAAAATGGATTTGTTTCTTGCTTAATATTAAAAAATGAATTTAGAAATCGTGAATTTCTATAGATATTTATTAGTCTTCTCGGATATAAGAAACTTAATTGATTCTTATATCGTTCTTTCCGATATATTTATATAGAATTTATTTGGGATCTTTTGAAGCGACTCGATAATAAATCACTTCGATTATGAAGATTATAAATCCGACAAATCTTCAAGAGTCGTAATAATAAAAATTATGGAATTGCCTCGATCCGATTTCTAAATAAATTAGTGATCTATCTTGTATGATCAAAATGAAATATCGTTAATTTTCACTTAGATTGATTTTTCTGAATTATATCTCGATAATACTTCACTTCTAATCTATTAGTAGAGCTATTATTGACGCGCGTACGAGGTCAATATTAGGAGTGATAAGTGTCGCAAGCTTCGGAAAAGGAGAGCGAGATTGGTCGATTACAACGGTTTTGGTCGAAATTCCGCAGTGTCTCAACAATAAAGAATTGTTCGAAGGCTTCTAGCGATGCTATAAAGATTTTGCTATCAGCATTGCCTATATTATCTTCGAAATAATTTTACATGGCTTGAGAATGTTCCCAACCTCGTAAATCTGGATTTGTCTGCCAGTACGACGACCTACTGGATATCCGGAAGTCTGGAAATATAATCAAATAATAATATAATTCCAGACGATCGGCGGATTTCGGCCGATTTGAAGGATATTTTCTGTCGAATATTTCTCAAGAAAGAAATTTTAATTTGGTCATCATTTCTTTCATTATTATTGAGCCATTAGTGATATCATTATATCTTTAACTTATTCTTTGAATTATTTAGATTATAACTAAAAAGATGATATTAGCCAGAATCCGAATAATTCTTAAATATTTCATTTATGATAATCTTCGCATTAAAGATATTATATAAATTAGATTTGATCATATTATGAATTAAATAGAAGAATATTCTAATAATTTATTTATTTTCTCTAATATCTTCTACTAAATTTATTATTTCTACGATTATTAAACAAAAATTCAAAATAAGAGATTATTTTTATTTGTAATTAAAACAAATATTATCTGAAATATATATATATATATTTATATTTATATCTATATTTATTTAATTATCGATAAAA